AATTCTTCTGTATTAACAAAAAGTGTGAAAATATAAATTTTTTTTCATGATTTTAATCAAATATTTAAGAATCAAAAAATATATTTTTTCGTTCCATTTAGTCCAATTTTGATTTCAATAAATTAATCATAAAAAATTAAAATTGAAAAATTTTTTTAAAAAATTTCCACGTGAATAGACGACAAAAATATTATATTTATTTATAAATATCTGTTCTTAAAAAGATTTTTTCACAAAAATTTAAAAGTTTAAAAACTTTATAAAACTAAAATTAAAATAAGTATAAAACTTTTATTTAATTTTCCACCTAATTCTATATAATAATTATTATTACGTTCCACAAAAATAAAAACAGCTGTAAAGTGTTTAGAAAGACGCAGTAGAATCATAAATATTTAATATAAAAGTGATGAGAAATTTTTTTTTAAAATTATATTGTTAAAATTGAAATCATTTCTCTTTTTTTTTTTGCACAGATTGGACTTAAAACTTTCAGCTTTATTTTCGCTTCATTTAAAGTTTTCGCAAGTATATCCCTAAAGTATTATATCGGCTAAACTAATTCTCCCCAGTAGACAGGAGAATTGGCTACTACACATACTGAGTCTTAAGAATACAAAGAGAGAGAGAGAGAGAGACATGTCTGGTCACACTTTGTTGAAAATGTGAAGAGAGCAATGTAGTTGTGAATGTATGACACGAGATAATAGCCATAATGCATACCACACAGGGTCGACGTAGGGAATGGATGCCTTTGGCTTTACGACACCCAATGGTGCTGTTCCAAGGGGTTCCAAGATGGCAAGGGTCATATAAGCAGACAACAGCATAACCCCAGTTGTTGGTCATGATTATAAAATATGTAATCCACAGACTATTTTTTTTAAATTGCTATTGTCGTCTAAATTAATGATTAATTATTATTCTCGAATTAACTAAGAGTTTATAAATTATTATTAGCTCTTCTTTTTGTAACACAACTAATTTCCCTTTTTTCTTTATAAAAAACCGATTTTTCCTTGGGGAATTCAACTTTATTTTACAAGAAAATTTGCCGAACTTAGCCAAATTTACCCTAACTTAACTTGCCTTAAACTAACTTAACCTAAATTTATTTGTCTTAACATAACCTCCAAATCTAATCTAACTTACCCTTCGTTAGCTTAAACTAACTTAATTTAACCTTAACCTAACCTAATTTAACCTCATTTGCTTTTAACCTTAACTTTTAATTACCAGTATAGGAAAAATTACAATAATTCGCAAACGCAAAAAAAGAGGAAAAAATTAAAATATTCATAAATTTAGAATATTCTTGTGTTTCTTGGATTATATATTATACATTTATGGGAGAATATTGTGCGTGCGTGTGTATGCCAAAACTGTATATGGGATGGATGTTTTGGCAGCTATGGCTAATGGTAATCGATCGAGTTGAACCAGTGATTAGCGTGTAATCGAATAAGGTCGAACGATCGTCGATTAGCGATAACCGATAGGCATTTTGCTATGTAACCGATAAATTGGTACACATGCGCGATACATGGATTCTCATCCTCTCTTGAAGGCATTGAAATTATCCCTCTCGTCTGCCCCCTCTCAGATTATCGATTTGCACCTTGATTTTCGAAATTGCATTGTTTGAGAGACACTCTATTACTAAACTTAATCCCCGTCACAACTACAACGGAATATTATGATAATTATAATATTCTCAAAGTATTTTCAGATTTTCAAGATTCAGACTGTAGTGTCAAAAAAATAGAAATTTGAATTAAATATACGTTTCAAAAAATAGAAACTAGATAGAATACGTCTAGAAAACCTTTCTAAATAATCAATATAGGAACTAGATAGAAACTAGATAGAAACAAGATGGAAACTAGATAGAAACTAGATAGAAACTACACGGAAACTAGATAATAACTAGGTAAAACTAGATAGAAACAAGATGGAACTAGATAGAAACTAGATAGAAACTACACGGAAACTAAATAATAACTAGGTGAAAACTAGATAGAAACAAGATGGAACTAGATAGAAACTAGATAGAAACTACACGGAAACTAGATAATAACTAGGTGAAAACTAGATAGTAACAAGATGGAAACTAGATAATAACTAGATAGTATAATTTTCCTGGCCTTTCTAATTAATCTAGATAGTTTCTAAATAGTTTAACTATCTAAAAACTAGATAGTATAACTGTTCTGACCATTCACATTTCATATACTTTAAAGACTTATAATAAAGATTAAAAATATTCCTATTTTAAGAATATTATATTCTAACTACAAAAAAAAGAAATCAAAATAACAATCATATATCCTTAAATTTATAAAATACAAAATCTAATATAGATAAAAATTCTATTGAAAAGTAAAATACATTTTCATATAATCAAAAATGTAATAAATTTTCACCGATTTTATAATGAGATTTTTAAATAAAATTCACATAATTTTGCCATACACTAAAAGTCATTAAAATATTTCATGACTTTCTGGATTTTCCAGCATACAAAATGCGGTCATCCTATTATTTCAAATATATATGCTTAAATCTATATTGACCTGGTAATTAATTCAATTTATATTTAATCAAAAATAAATCTGCAATTCCATTTACTTGTATGTGAATGTATGTGTGTATGCAACGTCACATTGTATTCAACTCATTCAAACCTCGGTTCACTATTTTATCGAAATTTGTCTCTTTCAATGTATGTATATATTTCCGTATTATCCTGGGTTGTCATGTAACCCCAATGTCTGTGGTTTGAGTTTAGGAAACGTACAGAGAGAGAGCTTGTTATTCCATGCATCATATTTGGTGACAATTATTTTGTTACATTATATTTATATATAAAAAGGCCTCTATAAAATTATTTATATAATTTTAAAGAATGTATTCAATTATTTAAAAAATGTAATTTTATTACTAATTATATAAATTGACAAATTTTAATATAATTAAAAATATTTAATTTTAACTACAAATTTTGAAATTCAAATCCCAAATTTCCTACTTTAATTATTGATATTATTAATATAATAGAAATAAATAATTTATTAGTGTTCTAATATTTGATAAAAATTGTATTTTACATATTTGATAAAGATAAAATAATGAAATATTTGTCAATTTAAAAATTATTAAAATAATTCTTCATTATATGATTCATAATAATTTTAATTTAGAATAATGTTTCAACATGTCTATGAATTTTAAACATTGTCATAATGAAAGAGTTTTATTATCTATTATTAATGATATGTGAAATAAATTAATAAAAATGAAATTTAATTATAATATAACAGAACATGAATGACGGATTTGAAAATTATGATGAATGCTGAGAATTTATATATGTTTTTTAAAAATTAATTTTGTAAACGTTAATTCATTTAAAAAAAATTATTTTCATGCTATAATTTTTAATATTAAAATTAACTCCTTAAATTATATTTTTTAATAATTTTCAAGTATTTTATTATAATTATATGTAAATATATCACAAATTTATCACCAACAAGATCACTAGTATAGCAACACGGATTCTGTCGCACTTACCGACTAAGGTCGGTAATGCAGTATAGTCGGTAATGTAGTCGGTAACTTTATTAATTGAAATTCTGTCCCACTTACCAATAGAAGTCGGTAATGTAGTATTGTCGGTAAAGTAGTAGCTAACCTTTTTCATTAAAATTCCTTTTATTTATTCATTAAATCTATCAGAAAATTATAGGTGGAATTGAGAAATTAGAGGCACCAGAAATAAATGATCATCTTTTACATGAAGAAAAAAAAATTCTTGAAACAAAAAGGATAAAATTGAAGTTAGCAGATATAATTAGCGACATTAAGAAGACAATACCCTCGAGGAAAAAAAGATCAAACGATTATCCAATAGTGAATCGACATGGTATATACACGCAGTAGAAAATATGTTGAAAAAAGTGGATTGGGATAAGTGCGGCTGACAAACGAGCAGATTATTCACGGTTGAAGAGTTCTGGACAGTGAGTTAAGTGAATTCTCCTCTCTATCTCTCTTTCTCTTTCTATCCACAGTCCTTTATCACTGAGCGCGAGTATCTATTATAAAAGAATAAATCCGGGCTATGGCTGCAAAAGTCCTTTGTAAACTCGATGAACCAATTTCATCAACCTTATACTCTGTCATTACGTATAATATCGTCTTATCCCTTATCCCCCTTCTAGACTCCTTCCCTTATTCTCTCTCTTTCTCTCTTTCTCTCTCTTGCTATACCGCTCTTTTCGCTTTGATAAGAGTTCGGGGTCGTCTTATCGTTACTACATATAATATCTCTGAAAAACCGTCCAGGATCGATGTCATCCTATGGCAATTACTACCTTCGCTGGGAGGATGCGAGACGGATCACGAGACGGGAGTTACGACTCCGGTGATCCTGCTTAATCAATCTTGTTCCTTGGATTTTCATTTACTGAGAGAGAGAAAGAGAGAAGAAGAAGAAGACTTTCTTTGGATAAGGCAACTTGATAAAAAGATGTCAGAAAGAGGCGGACTCTCCTAATAAAAAGAGTCAGAAAAATAAAACGAGTTAGAAAAACAAAAATCGAAAGTAGAATGAAAAAAGATCAAACTACTCAAGAGAGAGAGAGAAAATGCTTTTTTTAAATTCTTCTTCTATTTCCAGAACCATTATTAATTTAGAAAAAAGTCCATTAAACATGGAAATAAGAAAATTAATTTTTTAAATAAATGAGATAACGTTCTGTATTCTAAGTTTGGAATATTCAAGAGGCAAAAAATTATATTCTCCAACACTTATTCGTAGTGGTAGGTCGGTCAACGTTCTCAATTTGCGTGTGTCGAATCCGGGTTTGAATCCCGGTATCCCCAAAATATTTTTCCGTTTAATTACTTGCAGTAAGCTTGGCAACCTTTCTAAGGTAATCTTGCCGCATGCTTTTGTGCTATCGAGGCTATTAATAAGTTATAAATAAAAAACTTACCCTCTGCCTTTTGTAGGAATAGTTGCAATCTACTTCGGATTCTGCCTCTTTGCGATCTGAAAAAAAAACAATTTATATTGTATATTCAAAAAATTTTAAATTGATCAAATAATATGTAAATTCAATTCGTAAATAATTCTATAAAAAAAATTAATTAATTAAAATATCGTTTAGCAAGAAACATAATCGTAAAATATCTAAATTAGTGACAAGACCCATTCCTCAATCTACAAGAAAAAAGGACTCAGTTAAAATGTGATAAAAAGGAAAAGGCTTCTAATTCAAGTGAATTGAGAGTCAGTTCACATTCAATATAATCGATCTTATTTGCAAGTGAATCAGAATTCGCAGAGTGTGTTGTGAAGAAGGATGGGATTGTGACGCATTCAAACTAAAAGGAAGAGAAATGGAAAGGGTTAATTTTCCTCCTTCCTTTTTTTTCACCTTTGCCAATTCTCCTTTAACACGATTTATATATCTCATCCTCTTTAGCATTCTCATCCATACACCTTTACTTCAAGAGATCCAACTCACTCTCTTTCGTCTCTCACTCCCATGCGAAAACCACAGTGACCTCGAAAACGTTTTCCTTTAACTCACTATTTCTCAAACCATGTTCAACAAGGTTTTCCCCAACGAAGAATTTCCTGCCTGTAAGCTAAAAGCCTCCTCCTACTCCTCTTACTTCTCTTTTCACTCGAGAAAACGCCGCCGCCCTTTTTGTACTTGACGTGTCGTCTTCGTGTTGTAACCGCGCTTTAACCGACAACAGTGTTGCGCGTTAAACAAATACTGTCGCTCCCCTAAATCTCAAAAGCCCGTGTTGCTAATTTTCCAAAGCAATATGATTAAAATTTTCCTTAAAGGAGATAAACTCAAAGAGAATGTGTTTAAAATTCCAAGATTAATAAATTAATATAAGAAAATTGAAAAAATAAAACATATTTGCGTTAGAATTATTATTTTTATTTTCTATTTGACAGAATTTCTAATAAGCCGTTATATTTATTTTATTTAGAATTTTAAGAGTCCTCTATCTATGAACTGTCGATAAAGTAGATTGAGCGCGAAAGTACGATTTAAATTTCCCGCGCAATCTACTTTATCGACAGTTCATAGATGGAGAACTCAACAAAAAGAAATTAGATTCGATAAATTGAAAATTCGGTTAAAATAAAAGAAAAACAATCCATCAAAATAAAAAATTGCGATATTAAGAGCAATTTTCATAAAATCGTAAATTATTCCTATATTATATAAAATAATTACAAATTTAGATTAGCAATTTAGTAATAAAATACGCCTTAATTAAAATTTTCAATTAACTTTAATATTTTAAATATTGAAAGACCGATATTAATTTTCTTATCGACAGTTTTAATTTCAGAATATTTTTTTTTTTTAATTACATATTATAATTACCCTACTGGCAATATTACTAAAAGCGATAATATCTTTCATTATTAAAACAGAAGAGTATTAAAAATACAAAGTTGACGGTTATATATTAAAAAAGTTCTTTCTCATTATAAAGATATCTTAAAATATCTTTTCTTTAATGTAATTATTTTAGGACGAAAAAAAAACGATTATCTATTTTTTAAAATTAGATGAAATTTAAGTGGCTACAATTTGTCGTAGTCTTCTCGAGAACTCCTTTACTTTTTTTTATATATATATATATTTTTACGTTCTTTTTTTTATTTTCTCTTATTTTCCAAGCTTCTACAAAGTTTATCGAGCGGCACATTTTTAAGACACATCAAGCTATCAGAGAGAGGTAGTTCGTTAGCGACCAGGTGTTCGCCTGTATATTCGAGTAAAGCCAGCGTAAATACTCTTTTAATGCAAACATCACGTTCAAGACTTACCACACAATCAACTCAAATAATAAAAATAATAAATAAAAAAATTATTTTAATACTTTGAAAATAAAGAAAAATAAATATTAACCTAATTATTTTTGTTAAAGGACCTGAAACCAAAATTCTAAAAAAAAAATTGAAACGTTTGAAAATGATTTTTACTACTGATACCAAAACAGATTCTGATCTTGACTAAATACCTACAGTCGATAACTACTCGGTCGGTAATGCAAATTTCTACCTTATCAACAGCGGTAAAGTAGAAAGTCAGTCGTTAAAGTAGGGAACTATTTTGTTACTGTTTTCGGTCGGTAATGTAGATGTCTACATTATCGACAGCAGTAAAGTAGAAAGTCTGTCACTAAGGTAGGGAACTGTTTTACCGACATCCCTTGAAGTAAAATGGTTTTAAAAATTTATTGACAAAAAAAATGTTATATAAGAAGTGTGTTATTAAAAATTTGATTTTAACTTAAAAGTAAGATTGATTTTCATAACATTTAAAAGATAGATTTATCGCAGGTAATTTTAAAGGAATCAATTTGCAAATAGAACAAAAAGTTGGCCTTCTTGTTCTTATTCTTCACAAAATTATGACAAAACTTTCTTAAAAGAGAAGGAAGAGAAGAATGAAAAGAGGTGTGCGATCGATATTTCCTGTTGGAGAGATATCGGACCAGGGTCTTATAAGATTTGAGAGTCCAGGCACGTTCTGGAAAACGGGAATTCCATTGAAACTCACTTCGGCTCCTTAAAAGGAGGATGAAGGGAAAAAGGGGAGTGGGCGAGTGGAAAAGAGGGAGGGTCGAATACCCAAAGACGGAGATTGTCCGGCACGCTTCTCAGGGAAGACTCATGACGCCCATTAATTGCTCCATTCTTCCGTCTGAGTTGTCGGCCATGAATTTCCAAGTGAGCCCGTAATTCGTAAGGAACGAATTCGACGTCGTTTGCGTTCCAGAATCACGGAAGAAGAACGATATTCGATCTTGACATGGTACTAAAAGAAGATGTGTATGTTCTACCCTACAACATATTTTTCTTCATACTAATAAAAAAAGATTTAAAAACTTCTTGAAAATTAGAATCCAAATAAGTAAACTGCAAACAGAATAAGTTGACTTATTCAGAAACTAATTATTTAAATTCATAAAAAAAAGGTGCCGAAATTTATTACTCTCATCATTGCATAATAAATCCTCATGGAAATAATTTGCCCAAAAAGTCTTTTCGGTAAAGTCAATTTTCCCCAACTGTATAGTTTCGTTTTCAATTAAATCCTTTTGGAAACGTATAATAAAATGCATTTAATTTGAAAGACCATTTCCAATTTGACGCGATTCACTCTCTCTCTTTCTCTCTCAATTTAATTAAAAGCCGAGACCTTATCCAAATTATCGTTTTTTTTCACCTGGTATTTGTTTTTTCTTTCTCTTTTTTATTTTTGTTGAGCACCAGGTTTGATTTACAAGACTGAGAATTGGAACGAGAGCGTTACATCGTTGTGAAACTCAGCTGAGCAGGTTGGAAACGTGCTTAATTTTCATCGTGTCGATTTTCTCCCAAAGCGAATTATATCGGCGCTAACCATGTTTGTCGCTTCCACCAAAGCTTCGCTCTAGGCTGTTTGTGCCTGTACACACCGTCGATATATCCATTAGTAACTCTATACTTAAATGCAGCACCGCACCAGCAGCAGCGATAGCAATGCCATGCCGGTTGTTCGATACATCTCTCTCTCTCTCTCTCTCTCTCTCTACCTGTTTGCTTTCACTCTCCAATGGATACCAATGTCCGCTCTTCACCCCCAAACAGAATAGTGTGTATACATACGATTCCTGGTGTCCCTCAGGGCAGATATTCGCAATGGAATTGCTGTTTAGAGTATATACAGTCCTATACTCACCAAACTATCTCCTGCTTAAATGTATGTCATTATCAATATAGGCAACTGGAATGATGATCATCAATCTTTTTCATCCAAAACTATTTAATTTTGAAAATAATTTCAAAATTACTTCTGATTTCATTTGGAACTATGTTCCCTTCTACGTAAACCAATTTAATGCTGCTGGTGATTCAAAACAAATATAGCAATCAACATAAGTAGTATACCTAGGCCAGTTCTGCGCGACTTACCATCAGTCGGTAAGATAGATCGCGTTGCTACCGACCGAGGGTTTGAATCCAGATTAAATTACCATATATTAGTAATGCAGATTTTCTGCAGTTACCATCAGTCGGTAAGGTAGATCGCGTTGATACCGGCGGAGAGTTTGAATCCGGGCTAAGTTATCATAAATTGGCAATGCAAATTTTCTGCTGTTACCATCAATCGGTAAGGTAGATCGCGTTGTTACTGACGGACGGTTTGAATCCGGGCTAAGTTATCATAGATTGGTAATACAGATTTTCTGCAGTTACCATCAGTCAATAATGTAGATTTCTGTAAATGGTATTTTACCATTGGTTGATATGAGAGTTACCGTCAGGAAAAAAAGTACTTTCAGAAAACTTTGTTAAATAAGATGCAATTTTTATATTTAAAAGTAGTATATATATTTTTGAATAATGTATGAATTTTTTTCCTTTATATACTTGATTGGGTTGATAAATGCAAATTTTTTTCAAAAAAAAAAGTCTTGAGAATTTTTTTATTTATTCTTATTTCATCAAGAGAGGATTTTTTTTTTTTTTTTGGAATCAAGAAACATATTTTTTCAAAAAAAAAATATTTCCTCAAGATTGAAACGTATTTTAAAGTAGTTCATTCACACTTGAGAAGAGTGTTAAGGAGTTTATATTTCCAAGTTTGCCCCTTCAGGCGTAGGCGTTTTACTGACTTTTATTAATTCACCTAGATGTATATATGTATAGTATATATGCAAATTCTGGTATATCTTCTTTAATGTAGGCGGAGGTCGAGCGTTAACCTATTTTCTTTTTTTTTTTATTCCTAATATCAAGGCGCAGTACGTTTTACTAAGCACTCGATGTTTTAGATAATGCAGGGTAGAAATAATTGCGATTCACGATAAAGAAAGTAATTTTGAATTCGATGACGTTAAATTATGCCATTGAAAAAATTTTTTTCATGAAAATTACTAATTTTTACTTTATACATTTTCTATGCGAGAAAGTATTTTGTAAAATTCCCAAAATCTAATTGCGTAAGAAATTTATTGTCACTG